GGGCTGGGGATTCAAACCCGCCACCTTAGGTGTATGTGGCTGGCGCCTTAGCCGCTTGAGCCACAGGCGCCGAGCCTCACTAGATAATCTTTGGCATTTCAGCCTGAGTCTGTATTTTTCATTTTCTTCAAGCATTCTAGAAATGACTTTGTATACTGTATTCCATACTGAAGACTTTTCCTTTTTTTTCATTATTTTGGAAGTTTCATTCAATGGTATGGGAAAATTAAACTTTTTAGCTTCATTCTTCTGGATTAAACCTGTTTTTTTGGATAGAATACGCAACCTAGTCCCAAAGTCAACGCTCCACATAAATTAGTTCGAAAATTCAATAATCTCAATGGGCGGCCGAGCCCTCCTCAGAGGGGCTGGGTGGTTCCCCTCAGCCATCTGGGTATCGCTGGCCTGGGTATCGCTGGCCGCCTTCATCTCCCCTCAGATACCCCCGAGGCGGGTTAAAACTTCTCCTTCCCCACCCAGGGGTGGTGGCAGCTGGCGGGTAGGAGGCCACCCCGCCCGGGGCCGCCGCGGTCCCCACTTCCCGCCACTACGGGGAGATGGTGCGGTACATCAATCTTAATGAAAATTTTGAATTATTGTTTCTTAGAAGAGATACCATTGGCGGAGAGAGGAATAGGGAATTAATGTTAAATGGAGTACAGAGTGTCAAATGAAAAAAATTTGGAGATACTGGTGATAGTTGCACAACATTGTTAAGATAATACTTAATACCACTGAACTATACACTTAAAAATTGTTAAAAAGGTAAACTTTATATCATGTATATTTTGCTATTAGTAAAAAAGACAGCATTAAGATAATGAAGAGGTGAGTGGCACCTGTGGCTCAGTGGGTAAGGTGCTGGCCCCATATACCGAGGGTGGTGGGTTCGAACTCCGCCCCGGCCATACTGCAACAAAAAATGGCTGGTCATTGTGGCAGACACCTGTGGTCCCAGCTACTTGGGAGGCTGAGGCAAGAGAATCACCTAAGCCCAGGAGTTGGAGGTTGCTGTGAACTGTGATGTAACGACACTCTACCGAGGGCAACTTAGTGAGACTGTCTCGAAAAAAGAAAAAAAAATGAAGAGGCAAGGCTGGACACGTGGGCTCATGTGTGTAATCCTAGTACTCTGGGAGGCCAAGCTGGGTGGATTGCTTGAGTTCAGGAGTTCAAGACCAGCCTGAGCCAAAGCGAGACCCCCATCTCTAAAAAAAAGGCATCTAGGTCTTAATGGCAGGTACCTATAGTCCCAGCTACTTGGGAGACTGAGGGAAGAGGATCTTTTAAGTCCAAAATTTGAGGTTGCTGTGCGCTATGATGCTATGGCACTCAGCCCTAGGGCAACATAGTGAGACTTTGTCTCAAGAAAAAAAAAAGACAATGAAGAGGCAAGCCACAGATTGGGAGCAAACATTTCTAAACATAGTATTAGTATGAATATAAAGAGATACATGTAAAGATAAAACCGTAAGTATAAAGAACTCCTGTAACTCAATAATAAAAAGACAAAAAATAGATCTTAAATATTCTCACCACCAAAAAGAAGTATATTAGGTGATGCATCTGTTAATTAGTTTGATTTAATCATTTCACAGCATATGCATGTATCATAACATCATGTTGTACACTGGGAATATTTTCAGTCTTTGTCAATTATACCTTAATAAAGATGGGAGGAGAATGAGCTGAGTGCAAGGGCTCAACACCTGTAATCCTAACACTTTGGGCGGCCAAGATGGGCGGATTGCTTGAGCTCAGGATTTCGAGACCAGCCTGAGCAAGAGTTAGACCCTGTCTCCACTAAAAATAGAAAAATTGATACAAGAGGATCACTTGAGCCCAAGAGTTTGAGGTTGCTGTGAGCTATGATGATGTTATGGCACTCTACCTCGGGTAACAGAGTGAGACTGCTTAAAAAATAATAATAATAATGACTGAGTGCAATGGCTCATGCCCATAATTTCAGCACTCTGGGAGGCCAAGGTGTACCAGTCACCTGTGCTCAGGAGTTTGAGACCATCCTGAGCTAGAATGAGACCCCATCTCTAAAAATATCCAGGTGTTGTGGTAGGTGCCTGTAGTCTACTTGGGAGGCTGAGGCAAGACAATCACTTGATACTTACTGGTGAGGGAGATAACATGATCACGAAGGTGATTTTCCCAGAGCAAGGCTTACCCGTTGCACTCCAGATGTGCTGACCCCTGAAATTTCCCCAAATGTGGGAACTCGACTGCATAATTTGTGGTAGTGGGGACTGTGCTGGCTCATTCACCTTTAAACAAAAAAAAGAGAGAGAATCTCTTAAGCCCAGGAGTTCAAGGTTGCTATGAGCTATGACGCCATGGCACTCTACCAAGAGCAATAAAGTGAGACTCTGTCTCAAAATAAGTAAATAAATAAAATAAATAAGCGAGCTTCTAAAATGTTTTGTAATCTTGGCTTGGTGTCTGTAGCTCAGCATCTAGGGTGCCAGCCACATACCCTGGGGCTAGTGGGTTTGAACCTGGCCCAGACCTGCCAAACAACAATGACAATTACAACAAAAAAAAGCTGGGCACTGTGGTGGGTGCCTATAGTCCCAGCTACTTGGGAGGCTGAGGCAAGAGAATCGCTTGAGCCCAAGAGTTCAAGGTTGCTGTGAGCTGTGATGTAATGGCACTCTACCGAGGGCGACGTAGTGAGACTCTTGTCTCTAAATAAATAAATATAAAATAAAATAAAATGTTTTATAATCTTTATTTACTTTACTTTTCCTTCCTTTACTTTTTTTGGCATTGCTATAAGTATTAATGTTTGCTACCAAGAACAGGCATGATACGAGAACAATAGTCACTACCAAGAACCAATTATACCACGCACTTATTCTTCTGCAGATTTAGTAGCCCTTTTATAATATCTTTAATCAAAAGATATTACAGTTTTACAGTGCTTCCCCTGAAACATTTTGGTAAAATTTAGTAAAATCATCATGGTAATTACAAATTGCTATAAATGATTCTAAAGGCTAATTCTCACTTTCTGTACTTCATCTCTGCTGGGTAGCAAATTATCTTTGGACCACACTTTGAATAGTACTTCTTTAGAACATTTGTGTCCCAATGAGTACTCTGTTTATGTAGTGTTTTTTTGAATAGGTATGCATCTTCTATTGATGATATTTTGGAAGATGAAGAACATTATGCAGATCAGTTAAAGGAGTATCTTTTTTATGCAGAAGCACTGCGGTAAGTATAATAAAAGTTCCAGATGCAGCCAAGTGGCTGATCACCGTTCTTCACAATAGTGTGTTGGGTTTTTTTATGTAGAGACAGAGTCTCACTCTATCGCCCTGGGTAGAGGTGCCGTGGCATCACACAGCTCCCAGCAACCTCCAACTCCTGCGCTTAGGCGATTCTCTTGTCTCAGCCTCCTGAGTAGCTGAGACAGGCGATTACAGGCGCATGCCACAATGCCCAGCTATTTTTTGTTGCAGTTTGGCCGGGGCTGGGTTTGAACCCGCCACCCTCGGTATATGGGACTCACTGAGCCACAGGCACTGCCCCAGAAAAATGTGTTTTGTGTTTTTTTGATGGTATCTTTATTTGTTCATTTTCTACCCGTACTCCCCCCAATAAGAATATAAGCTTCAGGACAGAAGAAACTTTGGCTCTCAGGATGGGCAGGGACTTGAAGAGAATAATGTGTTTTTTAAATGAATCTATTCTTTCATATGCAATCGAATAAAGTCTCATGATATTCCTCTGTGTTGCAGATTGCTAGGCATAAACATTAAAGATGAGGCCTGTCCATTAAACATTATATTGACAAAACCTGGTATTCTCAGGCATCAGGTCTGTCTGTTGTTCTTTCCACTTTTTCCAATTTGAAGATTGGAAGCCAAATACAGGTTTAGTGTATGTATTAATATCTGTCAGCAGGTTATATATTGTCATTTTTTCCTGTACTTTTTTCCATGTCTGCATGTCTTATCAGTAGACTGTATTGTATTTCTTCTTAATGTCAAGGACTTTGTGTTGTGTTTATGACATCTCATGCAGAGCCAAGTAGTCCTGTTTGATTAAGAAAAAGTTGATATGTATTTTTATGATCAATTTAGAAAAATGAATTATTTTCCCAGAATAGGTGACATTTGCTCAGTTTTCCCACCATTTTGAAAAGCAGTATTAGATTTCTGTTAGGAAAACAGAAGAGCATATTCCTTTAACTATCCAATAACTGGTGTAAAGACATCTGTATATTGTTAGCTTTTTTCCTACTAGACCTTTGAGCAGTAGGAAGTTTCATCAATGTATTTGAAGTCACCATACATAAGAAACTTGCTGAATACAATGGAATCCTGTACAGCTCTTAAAGATTATAAAAAAGAAAGTTAACATGGAAAGATGTCCATGGGCGGCTCCATATACTGAGGGTAGCAGGTTCAAACCTGGCCCGGCCAAACTGCAACAACAACAAAAAAGAAAATAGCCGGGTATTGTGGTGGGATCCTGTAGTCCCAACTACTCAGGAGGCTGCAGCAAGAGAATTGCCTAAGCCCAGGAGTTGGAGGTTGCTGTGACTGTGACACCACTGTACTCTACCGAGGGCAATAAAGTGAGACTCTGTCTCTAAAAAAGAAAGATGTCCATGGTATGTGTTTATAGGTAAATGAGAACAGATGTAGAACCATTTGGGGTGTGTGGACATGTGTGTTTGTAAATGCCTACCTAAATTCTGGAAGGATATGTAGTATCTAGATAATGGATTGTGTCTGGATAGTAGGATTGGTGAAAAGAGATGGTTCTTGAAACTTCGCTTTTAACTTGGGTAGTTTTGTATTAGAATCTTTTCTTTTTTTACAATGACCACAGATTACTTTTGTGATTATAAAAACTAATGGACATGTCTGAGTAACAAGTAAACTTTGAGGTATCCTTACTAAGAATACTCAGTTACTATGTAAGATTGCAGCATTAGTTTTTATGTTAGAAGACATTTTTTCCTATTTGTGATAATACATTTATTGAACGAAATGTAGCAAGAATGTAGAAAATAACCTTTTTCTGTTTTAATTATATAAAATTTTTATGTTTAGGTTCTGCTAGATTTAATTTTTAATGTCGGTAGGTCGATGACATTTTAAACTCAAAAATTCTGGGCATACAGTTTTGGCCCTAGCAAGACATTGTGAATGCCTCCTCTCTATCCCTGAAAAAATGTCTTGGCATGTTAAAAGAGAAGCCAAAGAAGTTACATGTCAGCACATTTTTCCCCCCTAGGGCTGTATGCAGGAAACACGAACTTATGCAGTATGATTTGGAAATGGCTGCTCAGGACTTAGCATCCAAGAAGCAGCAGTGTGAGGAACTGGCAACTGGGGTAAGTATTTTTCTTTAGGTGTCTGGTATTATTGTAGCAGATTTTATTCAGAATCAGTTGCAGTTACAATATTCAGGATGTATGTTCCATTTATAAGGAGATAATTTGTGAGTGGCTTTATATTTCTTTGATTGTTATCTTGATATAAAAAGATTTAAGCCATTAAAACCATATACTAGTGGCTTGGCGCCTGTGGCTCAAGTGGCTAAGGTGCCAGCCACATACACCTAAGGTGGTGGGTTCGAATCCAGCCCAGGCCCGCCAAACAACAATGATGGCTGCAACCAAAAAATAAAAAATAGCCGGGTGTTGTAGTGGGCGCCTGTGGTCACAGCTACTTGGGAGGCTGAGGCAGGAGACTCGCTTGAGCCCAGGAGTTGGAGGTTGCTGTGAACTGTGATGTCACGGCACTCTACCCGGGGTGACAGCTTGAGGCTCTGTCTCAAAAAAAAAAAAAACAACCCATATACTACAGGCAGGCGCCTGTGGCTCAGTGGGTAGGGCGCCGGCCCCATGTACTGAGGGTGGCGGGTTTGAATCCGACCCTGGCCAAACTGCAACAAAAAAATAGCCAGGCGTTATGATGGGTGCCTGTAGTCCCAGCTATTCGGGAGGCTGAGGCAAGAGAATAGCCTAAGCCTAGGAATTGGAGGTTGCTGTGAACTGTGTGACGCCATGGCCCTCTACTGAGGGTAGTAAAGTGAGACTCTGTCTCTTAAAAAAAAAAAACCCATATACTATATAGTATACTATATACTGTACAAATACTATATGTATATTATACTGTAGTATATAGTATAGTATACTTTGTCCAGGCTGGTCTCAGACTCATTAAAGATGACATAACAAGTACTTGTTTCTTCAAAAAAATAGAAAATTAGCCAAGTGTGGTAGTGCAAGCTTGCAGTCCTAGCTACTGTTTTTTTTTTTTTTTTTCTTTTTTGGAGACAAGAGTCTCACTCTGTTGCCCAAGCTAGCGTGCCATGGTGTCAGCCTACTTCACAACAACCTCAAACTCCTGGGCTCAAGTGATCCACCTGCCTTAGCCTCCCGAGTAGCTGGGAATACAGGCTCCCACCTCAACACCTGGATCATTTTTCTATTTTTGGTAGAGATGAGGTCTCGCTCTTGCTCAGACTGGGCTCAGACTCCTGAGCTGAAGGGGATTATAGGTGTTAGCCATGGCAGTCATCCAGTCCTAGCTACTTGGGAGACTGAGGCAGGAGAATTCCTTGAGCCCAAGAGCTGTAGGTTGCAGTGAGCTACAGTGACACCACTGTACTTTAGCCTTGACCAATGAATGAGATCCTGTCTCAAGGGGAAAAAATCCTTACCTAGTTATAATCAGTGCATCTCTTCTAACAAGAAGCTTTTTATGCACTTTAATGCTTAGTGAGTAGTTATGGAGAAAATTCCATATCTGATTACTTTATACTTAGACCATTTTTATAGTAAGATTTTTACTGCTGTCCTACTATATCATTAAAATAAATTAGCTGTCATGGTGAGAGATATATCCTGGAAGTAGTAAAGCAGGAACTGTGTCACCATTTACCAGTCACTTCATACTTAACAAGCACTATAGGTTGAAAAGTGGTTTTCGGCTCGGCGCCTATAGCTCAGCCGGCTAAGGCGCCAGCCACGTACACCTAAGGTGGCGGGTTCGAATCCCCAGCCCAGACCCGCCAAACAACAATGACGGCTGCAACCAAAAAATAGC